CCTGCCCTGTACCCCCATTTTTGACCTCCGACTCTGCCTGTAAACCTGGGATAGTGATACCTCCCAGCATACCTTGCAGGGCTGCTTCTTAAATTGCTGCACAAATGTGACAGGTGCTGTCTCTGGCCCCTTCTGATTATCAACATGATTCTATAGGCCTCCTATAGGTACAGTTGGTATGTTTTGTGATATTTTTTTCGTTTGGTTTCATATGTACATTACATAACATTACAACGCAGCGGCAAGCTCTTCAATGAATAAATGTTGAATTCTTACCATGAGTCACGCACAGAAGAGTTAGATTTGGGTCCTAACCTAAATTGATCTAACCAATACATTACAGCTGAAGTTTTTTGTGATTTTTGGGGGGGGTGGTGGTATCGAGGATCGAACTCGGTCCCTTGCGCTTGCGAGGCGGGCAATGGAACCACTGAGCTAAATCCCCGGCCCACGGTTGAAGTTTTGAATGTTTAATATGTGATGCTGTTCTGAATAAACATTTTTCTACAAATAGCGTTTTTTAAAAACCCCTTTGAGTTATTTCCTTGGAGTGTATTGTCTGTGTACTGCCAATTTCAATTAAGCACTTTTTGAGTACCTTTGGAATGTAAGACATTGATCTATGTAGAAAAACATGAAAAACCCTAAGTGAAGAGCTATGGTTCATTAGCTTATATAGGAGAGAGAAACATGAGTAAGTTCAATATAAGAAGAATACATTATTGGGGCCGGAGATTTAGCTCAGTGGTTCCACCACCTGCCTTCCAAGCGCAAGGTCCTGAATTCGATCCCCAGTACCAAAAAAACACAAAAAACACACACAAAAAAACCAAATGAAAAAAAGAACATGTTATTTAACACAAGAGACTGTCAGATATAAAAGGCCAGAGAAAGGTTAAAACAAGGAGATCATATCTTTGGAAAGAATCAAGAAATGTTTAATGAAGGAGATGGCATATAAAGGAAAAGCAGTGTTCTGATTGGGGTTACAACAAAAAAAATCCCTTTCCACTAAGACCTAACAACATGAACCTAAGCATACAGGTGAGAAAATGCAGGACATGTTGAGGAAATTGCTTCAGTTTGCTTGGGGCTGTGTCATGCTGGGAGAATGACCGTAAGCTATATGAAAGGCCTCTATAAATGTCAACAGTGAAGACAACAGGGCTCTGCTTTGACAAGATGGCTCAGGCAATGACAAAACAGACTGGACAGAGGAGAGAGGTGTGACAGAGAATCCTGTTGGAAAGAGATTGAAGCAGTAGGTGATTATAAAGACCTAAGAAGGAAGAAGGGAGACTGTGACACTAAGATCAGAAGAAAGGGTCAGATGTAAAATTGTAGCTGGGCATGATGGCACATACCTTTATTCACAACTACTTGGGAGGCTGAAGCAAGGGGATCACAGGTTCCAGGACAGCCTAGACGATTTAGCAAGACCCTTGTGCCAGAACATGAAGGTCTGGAACTGTATATAGTTTAATGGTAGAATGCTTGTGCAACTTGCATGAGGTGCAGGATTCAATCCTCAGTACCACACAGACACACACAAATTGTAAAGATAGAAACTACAAAACTTGACAACTGATTGGGCATTTGGGGAGAATAAAAGATAGTAAGACACCATGGCAAACACCTATAGTTCCAGCTACATAGGAGGCTAAGGCACGAGCATTGCTTGTGTCCAGAAATTCAACAGTCTGGCCAACACTCTCAAACAAACAAATAAATAAATAGTGCCAAATTTCAGAAAGCACTGCCCATATAAAATAAAAAATTTTGGTTTTGGGGGCCGGGGATGTAGCTCAGTGGCACTGTGCTTGCCTGGCAAGGTCCTGAGTTCAATTCCTGGTACAAAAAAAAAAAAAAGGATGAATGAAAATGTATGGAAACATACCAACTGCCTGTGAGGAATGTAATCGCTACAAATGTGTAATAATACATTTAAAAATTTGGGGGGGTTTTATTCTGATACTGAACCATTAGAAAACATCTGGGTGGATAGTCTAATGCTGAATTTGGAAGATATGATTGATTGAGATTACCTGATTTAAAACAGGTAATATGATATACGTAAAATAGATCTGGAAAAGCCTTAGGAAACCTTAAAGATATGGGAAATCATTGAACAGAAATGAGGTATATCAATAGGCTGAATGTGTTAACGGCTTATATCTAGATGTCTCTCCCAAAACCTCATGTGGTCAGAGGTGGGGCTTTTTGGAAGTAGCTGGATCTAGGGTGTGTGATGCTGTGTTTAACAGTGTCCCACTCTGAGTGTGGATAGTATCGATCAATAGGCTTACAGCTTGGATAGAATATAAAGAGACAGAAGCCTGCTACTGCTGTTTTGCTGTTTACTGCTTGTCTGTTGCTGCCTCCTGCCTACTCTGTGATGCCTCTCTGCCATGCCACCCTGCAGTGGAGCCAGCTAATTATGGCATGAATCCTCTAGAAACTATGAGCCAAAATACACCTTTCCTCCTTTAACTTTGGGTGTAGGGTGGCAACAAGAAAAGTAACTAAGACACTGCGTAATAGCAGATAAAAACACACATGCCACTAAAGGATATGACAGAGAAACACCATCTAAAGTCACAAAGGCCAACTAAGGCACTTCCTTAGTGATAGAAGTGAGTAGGAACAGGAATTTATTTAATGATGGTTAATTATTCTCCAGGGAAATACTGGTTTGACCAGCTAATTACTACAATTTAGTATAAAAGGTAGCTCTCAGTGCCTGTCAAAGTAGAAAGGTAAGTATATTACTTGTTATCCCATTTTAAAAGTAGGCAGAATTCACCATGAAAGCAAATTAGCCTAGAACTAAAGTCAAGGGAAAATTCATCACTTGGATAAATTCAACAATACAATGTATATTGTCAAAATACAGTAGCTATAAATTTGATTGACTCATAAACATGTAGGAATTATCTTCACATCACTTTTTTTCCTTTTTGTCCTGAGGATTGATCCTATGGTCTTTGCACTGAGATACATCCCAAGCCCCTTTAAAAAATTATTTTAATAATTATTATCATTTTTGATTTTGTGAGACAGGGTCTTACTATGTAGTTCATCCTGGTCTTGAACTCACTATGCAGCCAAAGCTGGCCTTGAACTCACGGCAATCCTCCTGCCTCAGCCTCCTGAGTGCTGGGATCACAAGTGTGCACCACCACACCCAGCAAAAATTTATTATTTTGTGGTAGATTAATTAATGGTCACCTTGGAACACCCAGCTGAACTGAATCAGTGTGGTTCTGGGTATGGAAGACCAATCTGAGGATTGCTGTCAACAGCATAAGAAGAGAACTGGAGGGGAAGATCCCTTGTTGATTTTCTTGGAGAAGATTACCACAGCTGGTTTTCCTGACGCAAACTTGGTGTTATCATCTGAAGAGCTCAGGTCCTTGTTGTCACTGGGAATGGCTGCTGTTCTTGTCAGGGGAACTCTGATCTTTACCTTGAACATTGCTTCTTGGCTCCAGTGTAGATCCCTCAGCCTAGTGACACAAATCCTTCACTCAGCTGGCTCAGGCTTTCTAGCTTCCACCACTGGCTTTTGGGCCTGCCCAATGCAGATCCTCAATAAGGACTTGCATAAGACATTGCCCTGGGCTCTAGGCTTCGGCTGGACTTGGAAAGGATGTTGTTTTGGGGTCTAGGCCTTTAGCTGTACTTGTGAAGGACATTGTTGTAGGACATTTCCCAAACCTCTGCTTTGCTGAGACCACCCAGTGGTATCTGATCCTCAGACCCCAGAGCCCAGGGCTCGCCAGACACTTCAGATAGGGTAAGCCTCCTCAGCTTTTCCTTTTCCAAACTCTCCCCCTTCCAAGGTCTTCCCCTTTTGCCTCCATCTGCCTCTTAACTCTTCTTTCTGACACAGAGAGGGGCTCTCCCACTCCTTTGTGCTATTAAACTCCAGCACTGGTCACAAAGAGCTCTACTGAGAAGACTGCTTCTCTTTGGCATCTGCTCAAAGAGAGACCTCTATCTTGATTTTTCACTCACATTTTTTTTACTACTTTTAGGACCTGGTTGGAGAGGTCTACTAAGAACCTTCACTGCTCTCCTGTACCTCTCTCTGTGCCTCGTGGGTAACAATTCATCTTCCATTTCCCCTTTTCCCCCCCTGGCCTGTCTCCTGAAAAATCTCAAACCTCTCCATCTCGACCCAGATTTGAAGCCCAACCATTTAATCTTCTTCTGTAATATAGTTTGGCCACAGTACTAATTGGACAATGGCCAGAAAATGGTACATTTGTCTGTTCTGTGAGAGCTAGATAATTATTGCTGGCAACTGAGGAAATGGTCTGAGGTACTTTATACCCAGGCGTTTTTTACATTTTGAAACCTTCCCACCCTATGTTTTACTTGTGATCCTTCACAGCACCTTCTTCTTTACTTATCATCAATGCCCTCTTTCATCTGTGCTGAAGCTAACTTCTTTCTAGTAACAGATCCAACAGATCTGGCCTCTCCCCCTCTCCCACAAGCTTTTCCTCCTCCTGCTGCAGCTGTTGCAGCTGTACCCTCCACTCTCCCCAGGACCTCCTGCTGCAGTTCACTCTGCTCCGGTCCCTATTCCTTCTATTAACCTGACACTTCCCTTGGAGTGTTTTTTTTGGTACCAGGGATTGAACTCAGGTCCTTGTGCTTGTGAGGGATGTGGCGGAACCACTGAGCTGAATCCCTGGCCCTTCCCTTGGAGTCTAACCCTCCTACTTACCCTAACAAGACCATCTCA